CTATAGGAATCAATTCCAAATGATAAAGCTAGGTTTTTAAATAAAAGTAAAAAAGTCAACCCCGGGCCCACATCTCGGAATCCGATAAAATTAACAAAATCCGAACATCTATTCAATAACGAGTCCAACCATACCAAAATTACTCATTTTCGATCTCAACTTAACCTTCAAATCCTTAAATTATAGTCTATGAATTTTCACAAATCTTCCCCAATATTTCCAATTCAAAACACTAATTAAATGGTAAAAATAATGATAGATTCATGTATATTAACCAAATCTGAGTTAGAATCACTTAACCCAATTAAATTCTTTAAAATCCCTTCAAGAATCGCCCAAATCCGAGGTCTCTGGCTCAAAATATGTGTAATGGGTTCAAACCCACGATTTTGATATTTTAATAGTATGCCCAATGATTACACTACGCGATCACGGAATTTTTCTCGAGATCGCGAAGAACAAAATCTTCAGTACCAAAAACCTTATATACGAATGCACTCTCCAAGTCGCGAACATGGTGACTAACTTCCCATAAAGACTCACGTGATCACGAATAACAACACGTGAAACATTCCCAGGCCTCCTCTTCCTTCTTCGCGAACGCGTCCCCTCCAACGCGTTCGCGTAGCACAACCCCACAAAGATTCGCTATCGCAGACGTAACCTCACGAACGCACAATGCAAATTCCCACCTGCCGGACTTAACCCTACGCAATCTTGGTCCTCCTTTCACGATCGCGTAAGAGGAAATCAACAACTCTGACTTCACACACGTCCAAAAATGAGCCGAACATGATCCGAATCACACCCGAGGCCCCCAGGACCCCATCTAAACATACCAACATTTCCTAAAACATCATATGAACTCGCTCGAAGTCTCAAATCACATCAAACAACACTAAAACCTCGAACTGCATATAGATTGAAGCCTAATGAACTTATGTGCTTCTTACTTCCAAAACTTATACCGTAAAATACCAAACCAACTCCGATTAACCTAAAATTTTGCACATAGGTCATAAATGACACAAAGGACCTATTCCAACTTCCTGAACCAAAATCCAAGCCCGGTAACCACAAAATCAACTATCGGTCAAACTTCTCAACTCTCCAAACTTAAACTTTTCCAACTTTCGCCAATTCAAGCCAAAATCACCTACGGACTCCAAATCAATATCCAGACACACTCCTAAGTCTAAAATCACCATACAAAGCTATTAGAACTGTCAAAACTCCATTCCTGAGTCAATAACAACAACAACCTAGTAGAATGCTACTAGTGGGATTTGGGAAAGGTAGAGTGTACGCAGACCTTACCCCTACTCCGTAGTCATTTACACATAAGTCAACATCCGGCCAACTCTTTCAACTTAGGCTTCCAACATTGGGACTACATGTCCCAGTCCATTCCGAAAAATTTTCGGAACCAAACCAACAACCCCGACAAATAATATATCAACAATTGAGCATAGAATGAGAAATAAATGGGGGAATGGGGTTACAATACTCAAAATGACCGGTGGGGTCGTTATATTCCCCCCCTCTAAAACAAACGTTCATCCTCAAACGGGTCTAGAGGCATACCCGGGGTCTCAAATAGGCATAGATATCTGCTCCGCATCTCTTGCTCGGTCTCCCAAGTGGCTTCCTCGACTAGCTGACCTCTCCATTGTACTTTCATTGAAGCTATATTCTTTGACCTCAACTTCCAAACATGCCAATCTAAAATGGCCACCGGATCCATATCATAAGTCAAATCTCCATCTAACTGAATCGTGCTAAAGTCCAAAACATGAGACGGATCGTCGAAATACTTCTGGAGCATGGAAACATGAAACACTAGATGAACTCTCGATAGAATAGGCGGCAATGCAAGCTTAGCCACTTCTCCAATCCTCTCACGCACCTCAAAATGGTCAATATATCGAGGCCTCAACTTGCCCTTCTTCCCAAATATCATAACACCCTTCATGGGCGAAACTCTGAGCAATACCTTCTCCCCCACCATGTAGGCAGCATTAGGAACCTTTCAATCGGCGTAACTCTTTTGTCTAGAGAGTGCCGTGCGAAGCCTATCCTGAATCAACTTAACCTTTTACAAAGCATCCTGAACCAAGTCAGTACACAATAGCCTAGTCTTACCCGACTCAAACCAACCAACCGGAGACCAACACCGCCTCCCATACAAGACCTCATACGGAGTGATCTGAATACTCGATTAGTAGCTATTGTTGAAGGCAAACTATGCAAGCGGCAGAAACTGATCCAATGAACCCTCTAAATCCATGACACAAGTGCGTAGCATATCCTCCAATATCTGAATGGAGAGCTCGGACTGTCCGTCCGTCTGAGGGTTAAATGCCTTACTCAACTCAACATGTGTGCCTAACTCTCGTTGTACTGCTCTCCAAAACTGCAATGTGAACTATATGCCCCTATCTGAAATGATAGACACCGACACACCGTGAAGGCAAACAATCTCGCGGATATAGATCTCAATCAACCACTCTGAAGAATAGGTAGTCCCAACTAGAATGAAATGCATGGACTTAGTCAACCAGTCCACAATCACCCAAATAACATCAAACTTTTTCAAAGTCTGTGTGAGTCCAATTACGAAGTCCATGGCGATATGCTCCTATTTCCACTCAGGAATCCCAAGACTCTGAAGTAAATCGCCCGACCTCTGCTGCTCATACTTCATCTGCTGACAATTCAAGCATTGAGCAACAAACTCCACTATGTCTTTCTTCATCCTCCTCTACAAATAGTGCTACCTCAAGTCCTGGTACATCTTTGCATCACACGGGATGGATGAACCGTGTCCTTAAGGACAAGAAAATGGGGGTTGTCATACTGACGCTATCTGATGCGATCATATAAGGAAGACCAAGAAACCACGCAAGCTAGAACCCGACTGGGCTCCGAAACATCTAACCTCACGAACTGATTGGCCAAGTCCTGAACCTCTAATGCAACAGTTATGTGAGTATACTAGGATATCATCAATAAATACTATGACAAATGAATCAAGATATGGATGGAATACACTAGTCATCAGATGCATGAATGTTGTTGGGGCATTGGTCAGCCCAAAAGACCTCACAATGAACTCATAGTGACCATAGAAGGTCCTAAATGCCTTCTTCAGAATATCCGAGTCCTGAATCTTAAACTGATGATACTCAGGCCTCAAATCAATCTTAGAGAACACCCTAGCTCCCTAAAGCTGGTAAAATAAGTCATCAATGCGCGGCAAAGTATACTTTTTCTTAATTGTAACTTTGTTCAACTGCCTATAGTCAATGCACATCCACATAGTACCATCCTTCGTCTTTACAAACAGAACCAGTGCACCCCAAGGTGACATACTAGGCCTAATGAACACCTTATCAATAAGCTCTTGAAGCTGCTCTTTCAATTACTTCAACTCTGCTGGTGCCATACCACACAGAGGAACAGAAATGGGCTGAGTGCTCAGCACCAGGTCAATACTAAAATCAATATCCATGTCGGGTGGCATGCCCAATAGGTCTGTAGGAAACACATCTGGAAAGTCTCGTACTACTAGAATAGAATCAATGGTAGGAGTATTATCACCAACATTCCTCACAAAAGCCAAATATGACAAACACCCTTTCCCAACCATCCGTTGTGCCTTCAGATATGAAATCACCCTACTGGGAACATAGTACAGAGAACCTCTCCACTCGATTCTAGGTAACACAGATATCGCCATCGCCACGGTCTTAGCATGACAATCAATAATAGAATGACACGCGGACAATCAATCCATGCCCTGAATCACGTCGAAATCAACCATACTAAGCAATAAGAGATCAACCCTAGTCTCCAATCCCCCAATTGTTACTACACATGATCGATAGGCATGGTCCACAATAATATAATCACCCATCGGCGTAGATATATGAACATATGAGACTAAGGACTCACTGGGCATATCCAGATAATGAGCAAAATATGGTGATACATACGAATAAGTGGAACCAGGGTCAAATAATATAGAAGCTTCCCTTTGGCATAATGAGACAATACATGTGATCGCTCTGGATGAAGCAACGCCCTCTGGCCTGGCAGGAAAAGCATAGCATCGAGCCTAACCGCTACCTGAATGGCCTCCCCCTTTAGGGCGGCCTCTAGGTGCCTGAGCCCCACCCCAAGCTGGCGGAGCTAACCTGACTCTTCTGTTGAACTCAACCTCCAAAACAATGGGGACATTGGCTCCACACATGTCCAAACTCCCCGATGGTGGTGGAGACTAAATCGGACCTCGAGAGCCAGAATAGCTATTCCTACATGTTGGCGAGGACATATTCTCAGTTTGGGCAACAACGGCTTGTGATGATATCGCGGATTAGGTGCGAGATGTTTTTCCGTAATATAAAGATATGCTATTCCGGAGGACATGTAGCCAGTTATAGACCACAACTTAGGCTCGAGGGATTAACTTGAATGAGGTTGTGATTTAGGATTCATTAGTCTGATATATCCCTATAGATGAGAGAGATGATATGATGAGCTACGAGATAGCTAAGTATTCACAGTTAGTTGCTCGGGGATTAAGCAAGTACCTCCATAGTCTTCAGGATAATGGAGGGTAGTCTACTCCGTACAAGTAATCTCCTTGAAGATAGATGAGGTTAGCATTTTCTATAAGTCGGCATCTACTTAAACCATTTGCGGCATTAGTTCTGTTGTCAAATATTATGTTTATGTATAGAAAAAAACAATTTTAAGTTGACTAGAAAAATAGATTGTTCCGCTAAATCTAAGTAAATTTTCATTTGACGATGTTGGTAATGAACGCGGATAAATTTACTAGTAAATAAGTAGGTGGTGTATAGTATAGCATAAGAAAAATTAACCTAAATAGCTGCACACCCAATCGGTTAAACTAGAAATAATCTGCGAATGTATAATATATATATAATATATATGTAATCGTATATAATGATAGTATAATTTACGTATACATGCTATAAATATGAATTAGACCAACTATTTGTATAAAGATCAGTATAGGTATAAATGATGATATCAGATGACCCTAACATGGTTGCATTATGGAACAGGATCAACCAATATTGAAGTAATGATGTTCTTGAGCTTGGTAGTGGAATGTGTAAATGCATCTTCATCTTTGTAAAGGAGATCTATCACGCGTGCAAGATTGAGAACTCGCATGAGAATAAGCATTGGTACTTCTCTTGGATACAAACATTGTCTGTTTATATCTTTCCATGCATTACTTACTAATTTTTGAAGCTCCAAAAACACCTCTTCTTTTGATGTTCCATGCTGCTTCATGTAGCACTCTACTGCTGAAGGTTCATGTCCTCTTTCCTGTTCAAACTACAAAAATGTGTTCACTTAGAGAAGTAGCTGTAACAAGTTATTGGAAACTAGTTTCCGTCCTATGTATTTTAAGTAAGGGTGTCAAATGAGCGGGTTGGGCTGATTTTGGGCAGGTCAAAATGGGTTGGGTCAATAATTGGGCGGGTTATTTGACCCGTCTAAAAGTTACTTGGGCTAAGATGGGTTGGGTCAATATGGGCTAAAATTTGAGTCATATCCCAACCCACCCAACTCTTATCAATCTTTAGTTGATTTATATTATTTTCTTATGAATTATATAATTGTTAAATAAGACTTTTTTTTTTTGTTATGGTCATATATAACATATCAAACAAAGAAAATTTAGTTCTAAGATATTTTGGCAAAGTTACTCAATTTGAGCTGAAAATTAACTCAACTTTAAATGGATTGAGATGTGTTGGGTATAGATGAATTGAGTTCAATAAATAGACAGGTCAATAACCGGGCAGGTTGGACGGGTCATTTGGGCTTGGCCAAATTTGACAGCCCTAATTTTAAGCAATGAAAGAACTTTAACAAGCATAACATATTCTTACTTCATGTCCAGCCATGTCATCCATCAGTCTGGCAATTACCGTTGAAGCTTGAACAATTAAAGGTTTATGTGTAACCCAATCCATGACATTCTTGTTTATCAAATTATCGTCTATGCCAACTAAAGAAGTTGTTGCAACCATCATGTAACCACTAGAAACAAGTGCAACCTTCATGTACTCCTCAAAAGTTGGGACATAACAAGCTGAATGAGACCACTTTGCCTCTTCAAAATATGCCCTAGTCAACTTTTTCATCTGTAGTACAAGTCCAAAATATTTAGTCACTATGTCATTAAAGAGTCACTCAGGAATAGCTCATCA